GATGGTGTTCAGAGTCTCCATAAGCTTCTACTGATACATACCCCTCTCACCTGGACACACAGAAATGTCTTCTTCCTATTCCCTATATGACCTCCATGTTGGTGGTAGGAAGGAGGTGAGAATCCTTACTCTCTGCTAGGCTTACTCAGTGGTAAAGGATGAGACATCTACTTAAGAGTACGTGAAGGTAGAAGTCCACATTCCACCTGTTCTTCACGGACACTGCCTGGAAAATTGTTGGAAGGTTCAGCCCTCTATTTTCCCCCTCTGGTTCTTCCCTAGTTAGTGGCTTGTGGTGCTTCATCCAGCTTGGTGACAGTGGAAACACACATGGCTGCTGCTTGCGTGGGTGCGTGTAGGTCCATACTGTGTCAGTGGTGTCTGACTGGAGCAAAGCAGGGATTAATTTAAAGATTACAGGGATTAATTTAAAGATTACAGGGATTAATTTAAAGATTACAGGGATTAACTTAAAGATTACAGGGATTAATTTAAAGATTACAGGGATTAACTTAAATATTACAGGGATTAACTTAAAGATTACAGGGATTAATTTAAAGATTACAGGGATTAACTTAAAGATTACAGGGATTAACTTAAAGATTACATGGATTAACTTAAAGATTACATGGATTAATTTAAAGATTACAGGGATTAATTTAAAGATTACAGGGATTAACTTAAAGATTACAGGGATTAACTTAAAGATTACAGGGATTAACTTAAAGATTACAGGGATTAACTTAAAGATTACAGGGATTAACTTAAAGATTACAGGGATTAATTTAAAGATTACAGGGATTAATTTAAAGATTACAGGGATTAACTTAAAGATTACAGGGATTAACTTAAAGATTACATGGATTAACTTAAAGATTACAGGGATTAATTTAAAGATTACAGGGATTAATTTAAAGATTACAGGGATTAACTTAAAGATTACAGGGATTAACTTAAAGATTACAGGGATTAACTTAAAGATTACAGGGATTAACTTAAAGATTAAAGGGAGGTGAAGAGTTGCTACAGTGGTCAAAGCACTTCCTTTGCAAACATGAAAATGTGAATTCGATGCCCAGTCCTGTCTAAAAGCCAGAGGTGACAGCACACCTGTAGCTCCAGTGCTGAGAATCAGGAGGTGGGAGGAGTCTAGAGGTTTGCTGGCTGGCTTATCAAAAATGGCGAGCTGTAGGTTTAGTGAGAGCCCTTTCCTTACCCACAAAGGCAAGTACAACTGTACACTTGTGCATAGTCATAAACATATGAACATATACACAAACATATAACACAGAAGAACACTAACACACAACAAACAACACACATATAAACCTATACCACACATATACACATAACTCATGAATGTGTAGTAATACACCACACACACACACACACACACATACACACACACACACACACACACTTATGCGCACACATACAAGAAAAAGGTCTGTTTTTCTGAGCCACCACTCTCCTTTTCTTGCTAGAGACTGCAGTTCTGTTGTTATGTTGTGTCTTGTCTGTCCCTGTTGGTGTTAGCAGGTCACTGGTTTTCCAGATCCAAGTCTGGGGTATGAAAGCGAATAAAGGACACCTCACAGAAGCCAAGAATGTGCTGTCCCTTATGCTCCAGAGGCTCCATGTGGTTTATTCTACTCCCAAGTTCTCTTATGTTAGTGTGTATTAAATGTCCAGTTCTGGAAGGAAAAAGAACAAATATAATCAGCTCCATAGTCCTGGATGTAGAAATTCAACCAAATAAAATTATTACTAGGTTTTGGTGTTTCTTTGGCCAAATTCTAAAGACAATAACTATTCTAACAGATGTTCTAATCACTGTGACCTAATTTTTATAATATAAGTTACTTCGTATAAATGACTGCCTTAAAAATGTCTAAAACATGCTGGGCGTTGGTGGTGCATGCATTTAATCCCAGCACTCGGGAAGCAGAGGCAGGTGGATCTCTGTGAGTTCGAGGCCAGCCTGGTCTACAGAGCGAGTTCCAGGACAGCCTCCAAGACAATACAGAGAAACCCTGTCTCGAAAAACCAAAAAAAAGTCTAAAACATCTATACAGAAACAGAAACAAATTGTAACAGTGAAAAATTCTTTGGAAGATAATACCTAGCATTTCTATTGAACATTATAATTTATCTATATTTTAGCTCCTCAATAATCGTATGTATTTAGGAGGTGTTATGTAAGTCATCATAAATCTATTATAGTGATCACTTGGAAAGATATATATTCTTTTATTGAACTAATAAAATATTGGATACATCTGAGAGTGAGTGATTCATTTGCTAGCACCTGTTCTTTGTAACAAAACAATCAGTTTGATTGTTTAGGGTGGGATCATTCCCTTCCCAGATACAACCACTGCCAACACCGCAATGCACTGTCTACTTCTGTCTTTATTTCGTTTTAACTCAGGCTCTTCTTCAGTTTCTCCCACTCCTCCCCTCCAGTTTCTCATCCTGTGCGTCTGAAAGGTACTTTTCCTTATCCATCGACTGAATGGACAAATGTATTATTTCTCTCAGTGACTCATCTAATATGCCTAAATACCATTTATACTCAGATGATTGGTAGCTGTTTTTAGTCCAAGTCCTTAGTCAGGGTGTCAAATCTGTAACTCTAGCTCTATTTAATACCGCCCTTTGGATATCAGAGTAGCACTCATAATCCATTATTCTCAAGCTGTTCTCCTCCAGATCTTTCCTCTCAGTAGATGGCACTACTCTGAACAGTAAATGTTCACTGAAAGTTTAGAGGTCTTTACTGATCCCTCCTTCTCTGTCCATGTCTGATTATTCACAAATCTAGTAGCTTTTTCCTTATGAATCTACCCAATCTTTTCTGTTCCTACCACAATATTCTCTCATCACATTAATGGTCCAATGCAGTGATTTTCTAAATGGACTCACTGCTTCTCTGTGTATGTATACATGTGTTCAGATATTTGTGGGAGAAAATGTACATGTATGTGTGTAGGAACCAGAAAACAACTTCAGAGGTCATTCTTCAGGCACAATCCTCATTTTGAGACTGGGTCTCTCATTTGCCCAGAGCTCACCAACAGGTCATGCAGGATGGCCAGGGTACCCCAAGGGTCTACATGTCTCTGTCTCCCAGCTTTGAGATTACAGCATCGGCTGCTGTTGCCAGCTCTTTCTATGAGTTCTTGGAATCAAACTCATGTCCTCATGCTTGGCAAAGTAGGGTTGGCCAAGCTCCAGGATTCTCAACTTCATCATTCCAGAATTATTTTTTTCTCTAATCAAAGTCATTGTATAATAAAAGTGTGGTCTTGTAACATGGCTGTTGGCCAAGCTCCAGGATTCTCAACTTCATCATTCCAGAATTATTTTTTACTCTAATCAAAGAGTTATTTCAGAATAAAAGTGTGGTCTTGTTACATGGCTTCATAAAAGTGGAAAGTGGAAACTTTTAATTGCTCTTAAGTTAAATACGTAAGTCCTTACTATAACTTTTCATACTACCTGTCTCAAATATTGATTGAAGGAGTAAACATATCATTGCAGCATTTGTTGTTAAAATAGTACTGTTGTATATACTTCTTTGTTGGATATACTTGTCAAAGTTGAGTTGCCGGTTCATTTGGATGTCATCTATTAAATATTAAGGTACTCAGTGAATAGATGGTGTAGTGCCTTTCAGCCATCAAGAGAAAAGAAAGGAGTCTTGCCTAGGAAGATCATTAATGATTTATTAAGCAAATAGTTCTGTATCTCTTAGCTGGAAAGATGCCGTTATGTGCTAGAGAGTCAGCTACTAGTTAAGGAGTATTTTTAGGCTTTGTGCCAAGCAACTTTCAGTTGAAAAGTAGCAAGTGTGTCAATTTTTTTGTATGTATTCCTACAAACCACAGACATTTGTTTTCTTTATAATATATAATAGGTGGAATAAAAAGGGAGATAATTTGAAATGAGAGATCATGTAAGCTCTAATTATGATATGGCATGAATTTTAATTTCATGGAAATAAAGGCTCCAATATCTTATTTGCCTTGCTATAATAAATTCCATAGTCTGAGCATTTTAATAAAGCAGAAATATATTTCTCAAGAGTTCTGAGGGTAGGGAAAAGCAGATCAAGGCATATTTAGCATCTAGGGAAGGCTTGCTTTGAGCTTCACAGATGGGAAGGAATGGAGGAGCTTCAACATAGGACTCTGGGGTGACACAGACATTCAGGTCATACTATCTAGTGTGGATTGTTGGAAAAAACAGCAAAATAGGCAAATGGTGTTTTTAGAGACAGGCTCTTCTGTTTCTCCTTTGCTCTGTGGCATTGGGAAGGAGGAGCATGTGTCTTTTTGCATGTGAAGGAGGCAGGGATTAGCAGGAGGGCATTAGGTGCCTGAAAGAGAGGGTCCGTCCAGTGGGAGTCATCTCAATAATCACATTGACCTTATAAGTTCAGCGGGCTTAGGTAAGCTAATTAATCTCTGCAAGACTTAGTTTCCTTATCTATGAGTAACACTAATCCACGTTTTACCTTCAAATTAAATTGGCTATGATCATTTATTTGACTATTTATTCATGTATTCATATTAATGTATTTACTGTTTGCATTGGCACTAAGATACCTTATTTCTGACCTGAATAGTACATTTGCATGCCATAAAGATAACAAGGAATCCAGGCATGCTAATGACCGTTAAACCATTTCAAATAGTTATTGGGCTAAAAAGTGAGTCATAGCTTGTTGTAGGGTGCTGAGGGAATCCATGGCATTCTGAAAGAGTTAATAAGCAGCTTTTTAATTAAAAATCATTTAGATTAGAGGGAACACTGACACTTAAGATTTTCATAAGTTACTTTACAAATGCCCACTTTTCTCTGCTTCTAGTCTATTTTGTTGTGCAATTAAGCAACTTTATGTTTATTTTCATCTTACTATTAATTTTGTCCCAGTCATTTCAAGGTTGTCTAAGGAAAACTCTGACTTAATTGCTGTTTGTTATTTCTTGTTCTAGGAAATGGACCTCACCATGACCGTTGCTGTACATATAATGAAAACAATCTGGTGGATGGCGTTTATTGTCTCCCAGTAGGACACTGGATTGAGGCCACTGGGCACACCAATGAAATGAAGCACACAACAGACTTCTATTTCAATATTGCAGGCCACCAAGCCATGCATTATTCAAGGTAAAAATAGTGCCGTGTTTATAAGCATCAAAGTAGGACAGGAGGTAGTTCTAGGACAATGGAAATATTTACTGAGTTCAGAACTTCAGAGCTTCAAGCAGATAAGTTACAGTGTGTCAGTGTGTGAGCTCTGTTGGTTCTCCGTGTGAAAGACTTTCCTAGAATTCCTTATTTCATGTATATGCAGCTCTCAGCGTATTTAGACAGAATACTAGTTAACCAATCTACTGATTCAATGGATTGAATATAAAAATTGGTCTAGTATATCCCAGGTCACTTTGTGACCTTTATCTTACTTTTTACAGGAGGGAGACAAATGTTTGTGGCCTCCTCATATGGATTTTCTCAAATCTTAGTGTGAGAAATAAGACATATAAATAGATTGTCATTTGCTTATCATTCATTAATACTGTTTTGCATTTGTTCACTTAAATATTCTAATAGCAACATGTGTCATAACAAAAATGCAGCCATCAAAGAGGATGGTAAGTGAAAGACTCACTACATTTTCCCTCATTGTCACTCATCAGAAGTGATGATGTTAAACCGCTCTATGGCTGGTTCCTGTGGATTTTTAAATACAATGAGTATCCTTTGTTTGTTAGTGTATTTATTTTCCTCAATCACAAGTGTGGATTTTAACCCTCATTTGTTTCTGTTCCCTACTTTAATCCCTATCATACAAATTTAAAACATTCTGTTTCTTACCTTCATAAAAGTTGTGTTCTATGTTCTATCAGTTTTTGGCTATGCCTTGTCATTTCCTACTTTAGATATTTGGTGCCTTTATTTTTTTTCCAAATCTGTTTCCTGTCAGTAACTGTCATTTGAGATATATGGAAACTATGTTTAATATAGTAAATATGTCTTTCATATTTTCATTGCTTAAAATGTAAAACCAATCTTCAAATATTATATATTATTTACGGTTGAACATGCAATGCTTATACCAATAGCCAAGAGGCATCAGTGCGCTTTAAAAATTTTTTCAAGTTATACTTTATGTGCATGGGTGTTTAGATTGCATGTATACATGTGTACTAAATGTGTTCCCCGTGCCCGAGGAGGCCAGAAGAGAGAATTGCATCTCCTGGACTGGAGTAATGGACAGTTGTGAGCTGCCATGTGGGTGCTGGGAATAAAACTTGGGTCTACTGGAAGAGCAGCCATTTCTCTTAAACACTGAACTGTCTCTCCAGCCTCTTTTAATGTGTTCGCCATAAATGTATTGCTTTGGATAAGATCTCTTGAGATAAAGGAAATAAGCAATGCCTGTAAATTGTTCAAAACATGAGAATATTGCTATTCTTTTCAAACATACTGTCTCCCATTCATGTTTTATGTTAGTCTTGCTGGACTGAATGCATGGTGTGAGAAGGACAGAGGTTACACATGAATCATGAATGTAAGCATATTTGAAAGGCTACTTAAGTGACAGAGCAGATAGCCTTCTGGTGCACAGAAGCTTGCAGGAGAATTTGAAAGGTCATATGTGCCTGGGAGTTTCCACGATGGCAATGACATTGAGAGTCATGAGTCTAGTGAGATAATGGAGCAAATGAGTGAAGTAAAGGAAAAACAGATGAAATGAAAATATGAACCATTGTGTCCATACAATGTAGACATCAGGATAGCAGGCAACATAGCCAGGGTGAGAAGCAGCTCTGCCTGAGCTATTCTAAGCCCTGGTGAGGATGTGCTTGTGGGTTGTCTCTCATTTGTCCTGAACAAAACTCCCTAGACCCTCCAAAGAGCCATGTCCTCAACTTGAGAGACTTCCTTCTATGACGTGATTACCTTATCACCCTCACTGCCTTTGGTGACTGTCCCCGAAGATTCTTCATAGGTGCATGTTGGACCTGTTGGATTCACATCCATTCTTAAGTTCTACATTCTTCACCTGTTGCTTTTATCACTTTATATTTTGGAGACTTTCTCAGTGTTTTTTTCCAAAATAAAATACAAAATAATTCTTTCTTAACTCTTGGAATTTTAATCTTACAATGATTTTTGTTTGTTCTAGTTTATGAATAGATTTATTCATGAATCTCTCTTACAACACTTATACTCTAAAGTTCTTCTACCTAGATGATCTTGTTTCCTTCCCCAATTCACTCTTATTTTTTTATTTGAATATTTCTCTCTTATAGTTTCAAAATAGCCAGTGATTCTTACTTGCTCCCATTTATTACACGAAAAACCAGGTTGGTTATCACATGTGGCTGATATGAGCTTCTTCTATAATTATTGGTTTCTGTGAGCATGTCGGCTGAATGCCTGACATGAACAGGTTTTATTTTTTCTCTCCAGCCAACTGTGTCTCTTACTCTTTGAGTCTTTGGTCTTCTGAGATCATTGCAGTTCTTCAGCTCCACACATAGAAACAAGGCAGTATTGAAGGTGGGAAGGGATGATGGCTCATGTACTCAACCGTAGAAGAAAGGCAGAATTTACTTTCCTTAAAGCAACTTGGTTTTACAGTCAAATCTATCTGCCTGAATTCTTTGGTAACTTAGTCTTTTGTTGCATATCATAACACTAACATGCATTTATAGTTTGTATTAACCTCTAGTGTTTTTCATTGTTAAGTGTCATGACCAAACCAAGTGGAATATTGGATGTGATTGTTTTTTTTGTTTCAAATGTGGGTCTTAGGAGATGGCTCTTTGGGTGAAGACATCTCCTACCAAGACTGACAACTCGTGTTTAATTCCCAAGATCTGTATGTGTAAAGAAAGGACTGGATCCTGCAACTTCTGACCTTTCCATGTGGGTTGCAATGGCTACTACGTGTGCACCGTGCATGCGTGTGCATGTCTAGATACACACAGAGACAGAGTAGTTAAAATGTGAAAGCAAGCACATACGTACTTGACTATCAACACTGTATTTCCACATGTAACTGTGTGTATATGTCTCTATTCCTCCAAGTTCCAGGACTTTCATTCGCATCGTCTCCGTGTGGTTATTGTGCACACAGTTTTTGAAAACCACTGTAACTTCTCCAAAGAGGCAGCAGTTTTGAATGAATGAAGGATATTTTCACATATGTTAAATATTTTAGTTTAATTCGCATTGGATATTCCAACTACCATATACCTTTATTTTAAACTGGTCAAGATAAATGTGCATTTAGTTTAAATGAAAATCTATTTATATATTTCCTTATTAATTTGAAAACACTCAATTGATACGTTTGTCATGTTCATCTTAGCTTTTGAAGTAGATCTACTCATGATAAGTAATATGCTTGAGCATATTAATAATCTAGACATTAAAATTTCTTTAAGAAGATATAAACACAGACTAGTTTGAATATGGGAAGAGAATTATGCCTGGAATTCCTTTATGATTAGGGTAAATTATATCAAAATGAGTTGTCAGGATCTATTACATGATTATGATTAGTCTTCCAAGAATACAAATACATAACAATTAAATGATATGTCATAGAGTGTATGGAAAAGTTTGTTCATTCAGAAGAGCTATGACATAGCCAATGTTTAATGCCATTCTATTAGAGGCCTTTGCTCTCAATGGACTTATAATATCCTAGAAGAAGACAGATGTATACACATCTATAATACAGAGAGATTATTATTGCAATGAAGTTTTATATGCAATTTAGTGAGAAGTACCAATTTTAGTTCAAGAAATCTTTATGAGGAAGAATGTAAACTGGAATATAGAGGGTGGGCTGTTTTTTTCCCAATAGGACATCTGAGGAAGACAGGTCAAGTTAAGTACAGTAGCCATTGTGGATAAACAAAGGAATGATAGCAGAATTCAAATGACCAAATAGTTTTGTACAGCCAAGTTACTAAGGAAAGCAAAAGAGGAATATTTACTACTTAGTTTGGATAACAAGTATAAAATTGGAATGTTCCAGTAACATTGAGAAACAAGGCATGGGGCAGACATTTTCCTTAGAAAATAGCATCCTGGCCCCTCCCAATAGTCAGTAGTCAGAGATTTTTAATTATCAGCATTATATTTCCATGTTCTGGCTATACATGAGAAACTACACCTCCCTCTTAAATAGAACTTTTTTTCATGCAAAAGAACAGATTTGCATTCAAGACACAGACAACTAATTTAATGAAACATTAGTGGTAAAGGGCTATAATTTTTGTTTCTTGAAAAGGTTTAGTGCCAATTGAACACACTTCAAGAGACATAAATTAGACTTAATGAACATAACACTTTAGACTCTTGACATGTTACAATTTAGAAAATGTATTGTAAAAGCCTGCTTATACTTTATAGGCCTTAGCTTTATAAAACAAAAAAAAATGTATGGTTATTTTTAAAACAGTTATTTTAAACAACACAGCACAGGGACTTTGTATACTTTAAAATTCTGTTTGATTTGGCATGTTTTTTTTTAAATGATGAGATTAATTACTTTTGAAGAATAAAGGATCAACTTTCAATCTTCTCTCAGTTTTTTTTTTTTTATTTTCTCCTGGGTAATCTTGGGACAATCCTTGTAATAGCTCTTCAAGCATTAGTTTTTCAATTTGCAAAGCAAGATGTGGAACTAAGTGACTGCTAATGGCAGTTCTAGAAATGGACTATGGTTAATGACATAAGAGAGAAGGCCTAGTTTTGGTGACACTTTGTCAACATGTTATCTTCACCTAAAATGACTACGTCATGTTAGCTTTTCTGGTTTCGGGTCCAGGGACTAAATGCTCCATCTCCAAATGATACTTTCCTCACGCTCCCGTGTGTGGCCTAGGCACATACTTAGTTCAAATCCATAGAAGCCAGGGTTACAAATGCACGTCTTATAACCAGCACACTGTTGCCTTTAGTGAGTATGCAAATGATTCCTACATAATAATATTCTTATATTATTGTGAGAATCTTCCTTTTGGAATAAATAAAAACGAGTCACAAGATACTTTATGTATCTCTAACAGATTGCATTGCCCTTCTTCTGTAGTTCAAATGCAAAATATTGTTGGTCAAAGGAGGACGACCAGTTCCAATTGGTG